TTTAACAAAGGGTTGGTTTAAGGTTGCAAATAGGATTTTTAGCTCCTCACACTTACCAAAACCAGACACTTGGTTTCCTGAAAGATAAGAACAAGAACTGTGTATTGACCCCACTTTGTCTCAATGTATTGACTTCTGTTTTCCTCAGGAGTATAGACCTCTGAGGAGTTAATTCTTCTGGGATCTCCTAGTAAGTTAATAAAGAAAGGGTTGGGCCTGGGACTTTGCATTAACTCTTTGGGACCCAGATCCTCAAACAGGAGCTGGTGACAAAATGTAAAGAAAAAAAAATCTAGAGGATAGAATTATTTCATATAAGCCAGCTTCTAACATCTGCATTTGTTGAAGGTGAAGCTTTCACCAGCAGCCTCTGTCTGTTTCCCACATTGCAGAAGTGCTGTAATTCTAAACACACCTGGAACAGCCCTCACCAGAAAGACACAAAATAATTTCAAAATGTTTCCGTTTCCTTAACTCTAAGTCAAATGTTGTAAACTGGCTCCCAGTTACCTAGGAGTAAAATTTAATACTTGTTTACTTACTACATAATGTAAAACACATTGGCCACTTTCCTTCCCCTACAAAATTGTTCCATTAAACTATAGGCATTTCTAGGATTAGATATTAAATAATCAAGTTGTTCTAAAATTGTGTTCTTTTTAAACACTTTTCCACATTTTTATCAACATCAATAAGTTATACAAGTGGATTTCATGTTAGCATGCCCACATATGTATACAATGTACCTCAAGTAGACTCACCCTCCCCTTACCTTTCTCATCTATCCTTTCCTACTTCCCAAACCAATTTCAACAAACTTCATTGCTTTATTTGTAAAATTATTTTCTTAATTTTGAGAAGAATCAAAATGATATACAACCAATTCATAAAAGGCTGAGAAGTGCATCATCATCACTGCTTAAACTGGGACGGGACAGAGTCAATGGAGACAGTGAAAGACGGTAAATAGGATTAAAATAGCTTGTGTACACGTGTGAAAATGGAATAGTTGAAGGTGGTTGAGATTTATTTTGGAAAATGGAAGAGTTGAGGAGGGATGATGGAAGAGTGAATCGGATCGAGACATATTGGACATGAAAGTAAAAGCTTCTGTACTGCTAAGTAACGTTAATAAGTAATGGGGGGGCAGCAAACATTGAATACAATAAGAAATGGAAGCAACATATCTTTGAGCTGTTTCCTGGGCAAGCATATACTTTAAAGTCAGGGAAATAATATGGAAATTATAAAGGTATAAACTCAACTTAGCCATTCTTAACCCTGACACGGTTCACCTCATCTAAGCATCGGAAATCATCCAGTTTTAGACAAAATGATAGGTAGACTCAGAAGTCTATGCGTTGTAGAGATTGGGAAATAAAGGAGTCCATGCCTAAAAGGACCAAATTTATCTGTCTAAGCAAAGGACAGGAAGGGAAATATCTTAGCAGCCAAAAGTCAGTCCATGGATAACAGTTTCAACCTGTTATGTAGAATCAGAGAAAATGGACACAGGCTCAGAAGAGAGGGCAGGTGAGATGATGAGAATAACTTAGGGCTAAGCAACAGAGAAACCAGTTATTCCTAAGAATTATATCTACTTAGAAAGGAAACCATATAGTGTGATACTTGGCATTGGGCAGGGGAATGAAGAAAACCTGGATCTGAAGCCCAGTTCAATCCCTTACAAGTTCTCTTTTTTCATAATTTATAGACTAGAAATATATTATCTGTCTCCTAGAGATGTTTAGAAAACTAAGTATAATGACGTATATGAAGGATCTTGGACACAAAACACAACCTTCCATATATGCACACACAGAGGCATCTGTGTATTATATATAAAATGCATAACTTATATAATTTGAATCAAGAATAGCATTTACAGAAGTGAAACACCACTGAGTAAACCTTTTGAACAATTAATAGTTTAACAAATGAATATCAGGAAGTTGAAATGAGATTTTAAGGTGGAGGGGTATGGGAATGGGTGGATTAAAGATAAAGGGTTAGGGGAAAAATACAGCAGAATACTAGATGTAGAAATGTGATAAAGAAAGTAAGAAATGCAAATTGAGTGTGGAAGGAAAATGGTGGAAAGGGCAACCCAGATCAAGAAGCATTGGACATTTAGACTATTAAATTGGAATACCCATACACAACCATTTGCAGTTCAGAAAAAAAATAATATAAGGCATCATCTAAGACAAATAGCATAAAACCCATTTATGAAGTCAGTGAGGAATAATTATTCATTTTAGGTCAAGGAAAGGTTCCTGTTCTGTTAAACCACACACACAAAAAAAAAAAACTCATTGTCACAAAAGAAACAAGAAATAACATTTATACCCCTTTTTGTGTTTGTTATAAATTTAGAAGTTCAGATTTGTACCTGACAGAAATGATTTAAACCATAAACTGACAACAAATGTTTCTGGATCAAAAGAAGGAATCTGAAATATTGTCTATTTCCTTCCTTTAGTTATAATTTAGCTTCCATACATTTTTTATCAAGGTTACAATATTGTTTCTTTGAGAATTTACAAAAAATAATTCTAAAATGGAATTATGGGTAGATGCTAGAGAATATAAGACAAAAATAACAGCAACTAGGATAAAGTTCAATATGTAATGGCATTTATTAAACAGCCCTAAAATTGTGTTTAACTTAGCAAATCAATGAGCATAACAAGCAAATAGAAAAGGCACACTTCAAAACTCTATAAAAGATCTGAAAACTTGATACATATTTAAGGAATACAAGAACACTATGCAAATACACGGATTAGTCAGCTAATGATAGTAGGAAAGATAGCAGGCTATTTAAAATATCAGAGGTGGAGTGCTAAACTAAAGTAACTTAAGGGTTGAGTACTAACAGAATTTTAAATCTTATCTAAATATAAGTAAACAAATTATCAAGGAATGATTACAATTTTCTATGGAAATAACAATTAAAAGTGAAAAAGGAAAGTAGGTTCTATTAAAAAGCAATTTGTTATATGAATAACTTTTCGTTTTTTGGTACTTTGTTTTTTGGGGGTTTTTTGTGGGGGGGGGGGGGAAGGGAGGAAATCCTGGGACTGTAACTCAGGGCCTGTCCCTAAGCTTTTTAGCCCAAGGCTAGCAAGCTACAACTTGAGCTAGAGCTCTACTATGGCTTTTTTTGGCTGGGGGGCGGGGGGGGGGGAGGAGGAGGAAGAGGAGAGGGAAGGACATTTAATTTAATTGGAAATAAGAATCAGACTTTCCTGCCTGGGTTAGCTTTGAACCATGATACTGAGATCTCAGCTTTCTGAGTAATTATCGCAGGCATGAGCCACCAACACCTGGCATTTGAAAACAAATTTAAAATTGAACTAAATTTGTAATTAAACAACAAATAATCACAGTATACATATCTATATATATCCAGTATTTACCACATATGACTTACTCTTCTCTTATTCTGTAGAAAATATTATTTAAAATTTGAATATTTGGATATGGAGTTCTCAGAGATTGACCTTCAACCCGGGCAGCAAGATTCCGATATCTATCTCAGACATTAAATGAGATTGGCAATCATTTTTGCTTCCTTCAATATATATTCATTCGTATTTATAGAAATTTCAGAGTATGAGTATTATATATAAAAACTATTTATCAAATATTACTAAAATGTTTAACATTGTTAATTACTAAGATCTAGTATGATATAAATATTATTCAACATTATTCATTCATGCATCACAACATTAAAAACTAAATAGTATTTCTAAACACAGCATCGGTGCTTAAGGATTGACGGTAGCATAAGACATAGGCATACTTACTACTCATAATCTTAGATCCTCAAGTAGCAACAACAATGTCAAGAATCAGTTTCTAGAGGTGGAGACATACAAAGAAATAATTATATTCATTTAGTAATATTTGATTACTTACATGAAAGAATGACAAACTGCCAGTTCACTATAAATAAAGGACAGCTTCCAAAGGAAATGAAGTTTGATATGCAACTTTACAATAATCATTCATAAGCATGTTACATACATACACACATGTGCACACACGTGAAAATAGCACTATGAAGCCCACCAAACACTATTTAAAAGAGGGAAAGAAAAGGGGGTGAGACCAAAGGAATACAAAGAGTGAATTTGTTCAAAGCACACTAAGCATCTATGGAATGATGCTTTTGTTAACTCTAATGTATGCTAATTAAAAACAGTGAAAACACAACAACTGAGTAAATAGCATAGACATGACTGTACAACCTATTGTAATAAGCACAACAGAACGCACAGGCAGCTAACAGGCAAAACCTACCCAGCACAGAAGCTATGGAATGAGAATTATAAAACATTAGAACATCCAGGCAATGAAAAAAATAATAATGAAAGGCTATGTGTTATTTTATATACAAAACTGACTGGGAGGCTTCAAAATAATCATAAAAATGGTAAGATTATCCCTTCCTTCGCTACATAAATCAAAGGGTTTTAAAGAAAGCACAAGAGTGCATCCACATGCAGGCAGCACCCTCTAGAAATGATTCTAAAGAACTGAAACCAACTGATTTCCTGGAAGTTTTAGATACAAATTCATACATGCATGCTTTTACATCCTTGTGTATTTTTCCCCCTTTTGCTACTGTAAGGAACCATCCTCATTGCTCCTGCGAAAATTGAATTTCATTCAGCTGAATAGAAAAATAAAACTCTTGGCATTTCCTTCTGACCTGAATAATTTTAAAAGCAGAAAAATTGTCACATCAGATCGAAATTATTTTGATTGTGCTTTGAATGTGTACACCCAGGAGTCCAGGTCATTGTTTTAAATTCTTGGCCAAACCCAAGTTGGTTTTGAAATGTGATATTTAAGAAAAACTTCTTTGCATTCAAACTCAAGGGAAATTAACGTCGTCTTCTTTCTCCCATAATCCTGTCACTAACCAAAATGCCTGTGGATGTCTTTTACAACTTAACCATAGTTTATATACCAGAAAATTGCTCCATTCAATTCCACCTTCCTCTAAGGCTCCTCCTATTGGGGTCCCGTGAACCCTTGAATTTGAACAGCTGGCATATGGCCCGGCGGATCACCTTGGTCTTCAAGCTGTATATAATGGGGTTCAGTACAGGAGGCAAGAGCAGGTACATATTGGCCAGAACACTGCAGATCACCCTGGGAGTGGAGGTGAACAGACGGTGGGCTAAAGACAGGCTGATCATGGGCACGTAGAAGACCGTCACCGCGCAGATGTGGCAGACACACGTGCTGAGCGCTTTCTTTTGCTTCTTCGGGGCCACGATGCTCAGAACCGTGCGGAGGATCAGGATATAGGAGAAGAGAATGAACAGTAAATCAGTGCCATTCAGGTAGAACTGCAGAAACATTCCCCAAAAGTTTTTGACCCAGGGGTTGGTATAGGTAAATTTGACCAGGTCTGGGTAGTAGCAAAATGGATGGGAGAGCTCTTTGCCGCCCTGGAAAGACACAGTGCTCACAGCCAAAACGCAGGGAAACATGAAAACGACTTGTCGTATGAGGATGGTGAGTCCAGTCACCAGGCTCATCATGTCTGTGAGGACAATGGCATAATTCAGTGGGTTACAGATGGCCATGTAGCGGTCAAAGGCCATGGCTACCAGCACGGAGGACTCCAGGAAGGAGAAGCCATGCATGAAGAACATTTGAATTCGACACGCTTTTATGCTGATCTCCCTGGCATGGAACCAGAGAACCCCGAGCACTGTAGGAAGAGTCGTGACGGTCAGACAGAGATCCACGGCCGAGAGCATGGAGAGGAAATAGTACATCGGCTTGTGAAGACTGCGCTCAGTGATAACCACGAGCATGATCATGCTGTTTCCCACCAGGGCAATGGTGTAGAGGCAAAAGACAGGAATGGAGATCCAGGTGTGAACCAGTTCCAGCCCAGGGTAGGCAGTGAGGAGGAAGCCGGAGGAGAAGGAGGATGTGGTGTTATTGAAAATCAACATGGTGAGTACCCAGCACCTCCTGAGAAGAAACAGAATGATGATAATATCTGTCACTAGATCCTTCTTTTTTTAGTTATTATTATGAAAATACCTACAGAGGAGTTACATTGACATGGGCAAGGTAATGAGTACATTCCTTATCAAGCATTGTTGCCTCCTCCTTTGTTTCCCCTTCCTATCCCTTCCCCCCTCCTCTCCCATATCCCCCCCCCAAAAGTTAACGCGTCTTATAACCCAGATGACTGTATCTCCTTATTTAAAATTCCCGATAGAAATGTGCTTTTCATTGTAGGTCTACAGAGTCTTGGAGTGATCTTGTGAGAACCTGTCCTCATTTTCTTACCTCTACTCTTTCCAGATTATAACTATCCGTTATAGTTTCCGTCTTATATGGTTCTCCATAGCTCATGTGCTAAAATTTTGAACCCCAATCCAGCAGTGTTCAGAAATGAGTCTTTGGAAAGTGAAGAGATCATAAGGACTCTGACCTCATCAATGGATCTATCGCATAATAAGCTGTTGTAAATTTTAGGAAGTGAGAGCTAATTGGAGGAAAATAACTTGGAAGGGTGTTTTTGTTCCCATCCCTTCTAGTATCTTTCAGGGTTTATTTTTTCCCAAATTTCCATGAGATGAGCAACTTTGTACTGCCTCAAACTTGTGCCATTCTGTACCTCACTACAGGCCAAAGCAACTAATCCAATAACTAGGGACTGGAAAAGTAAGCCAAAGCTATCCTTTCCTCTGTTTAAGTTGTTTTCCTTGGGTATTTTTGTCACAGTGACAGAAAGCTCACACACAAACTATCCATCTCCCATAAGCTCATTACCACCTTATTTTCCAGAATAACATTGACCTGAATAAGAAATGCTTTTATACTTGAGTCATACGTGTATCCAAACACCAATAAAGCAAAAACAGTTGCAACTACAAACCTAATGGATATATGTATTAAGTTCTTCCTAAAATAATGAAGAACATAGGTGTAATTCTGGGCACTTGTGGTACTCTTGTTGAAATCTGGTCTGGGATATTGTGTTCAAAGTAATCTTTGCACCCAAATCATTTCTTATATTCTCCTTTTCTAAGACTTAGATCAGTCTCTGAGTTCTTTATTTCATTTCCTATATTAAAATAACTCCAATAATTCTGTTATTCCTATACCATACATATGCTAGGCTAGGATTCACTGTGCTCTCTATTTGTGTTTTCCTAGTTTACTGAAATACATGTTTTGGTCTTTTATCTATCTTATACTTTGGAGATTTTGTTTTTAGGCCTCCATGAATGTCTGCAGCATTAATTTGAGCTCCCTCATTATGATTATACAACTCATGGAATCCTCTCTAGATCTCTAAACATTATTTTGGAATATATGACTACAGGTTTCCTCATGTTGGCCCAACACAGAGAAGCCCTGACAAATGTCACATATGCTTCTATCTTGGTTCTAATCATTTGTTAGTCATGGCAACAGTCCAATGATTTGCTGGAGACATTGTTGGCAACAGTGTGATGTGGCTGGGATGCCTACTCCATTTTACCTTCCCATCAGGAGAATTCTAGGAAAACGATCCTCCTTTCTGCTTGCTCTTCTCTTGATGGTAAAATGAATTGTGCCAATGTGTGGACTTATTCTAGTTATCTGAATGAAATTCTCTTATCAGGGCTTGTCTGTCTAAGTTGGGAGGGATTTAAGATCACTTGTAAGTGATCTTTTCACCTGAGGGTCTGGTGAAAAGCAGGAGAGGTACTCTCATTAAATGACTTTGGGAAATTTATGAATGGAGTGAAAACAGGGATTGAAAGAAGTGAGTAACTAAGGGATTAGCAGGCTGCTGATGTCAGATATTTTTATATCAACCGGCTCAATGGCTACAAAAACATTCCATAGAACGATAGCTTGGAAACAGTGATAAGAGAAAAACAATAACAACACAACCTATGTAGCTTCCTAGGAAGGCAGAAATACAGGGCCTATATTTAAGACGACTATCTCAATATTTTTCAGGACTTGCTTTTTGACTGTTGGTCAACAACAATCAGAATAAGTTTCACTTAGACCACATAGTCACCAGCAAAGGACATAAGGAATGATTCATCTAACTTGGTTACTCAGCGCATATGGCCAGCTCGTGATTTTCTTCCTCCAAGGGTCTAAGCTTTCAGCACAGCTAATGGAGGAGTTACAAGACATTCACCATTGGTAGAGCATCTTTGTATTTTATAAAGATAAATATGAGAGTGTTAACACTTTTCTATACAAATCCACGATAGTGATATCTATAATCAGTTTTACTCCAGTAAGGATTACAAGTTACTTTTTTTCCTTTTTATTTTTTTATTTTATTTTATTGTGAAAATACTGTACAGAGGGGTTACAATTACATGGGCAAGATAATGAGTACATTTCTTATCAAGCATTGTAGCCTCCTCCTTTGTTTCCCCTTCCCATCCCTTCCCATTTCCCCCCACCTCCCCTCCCAATCCTCCCCGCTCCCCCCCCCCCCACAAGTTACTTTTTCTGCTATACTATGTAAGTTAATATATATGTCCAGGATTTAATTGGGAATTTACACAATCAAGAAAACAGGTGCAAATGAGATAATGATTTCAAACATGTGAATTAAACAAAATACTTGGGCTTTTAATGGCAGCTCTGATTCTAGTTACATGGTCAAGACCATGAGAACAGAAAGGAGTAAAGGACACTTTTGCTTCCAAATTCTGTCAACATAGTGAGACTGGATGACTAAAGGAGCCAAGGGACTTTAATTGGAGATGATCACTACATGACAAAATGAGAGAAGAGTGAACAACCAGACAAGACAAAGCAGGACTACTGAGAACTCTGGGTCATTCTTCTGGGCTGCTAAACACAAATGCTCAGAAGGAGTTTCTGAAATTGCCCTTTTCATCCAATGATAATGTACATGTGCTTTTGGTAATACCTATTCTTCCTGGATGTTATTTTCTCCCACTAGAAGGCCAGCACTTTGGGAATAAGAAACATGCTATTGGGGCTGGGAAGGTGGCTCAGTGGTAGAGCGCTTGCCTTGAGCTGAAGAGCTGAGGGACAGCACCCAAGGCCAGAGTTCAGGCCCCACGACCGGACTCCCCCACAAAAAAAAATAAAGGAAATATGCTATTGGTCTTTAGTTTTTCTCCAGATGAAGCACACTGTTTGGCACTTAATTAAAAATCACAATTAAACTTATATGAGATGTGTAACTTGTAGGGAGTAGAGAAATAATAAAGAATAAATGAAAAACACAGAGATTGAGCCTGGAAGTTTTGAGGAAGGGTGAACCATAGGGGAAAATGCTCTCTGAGAGACTGTACAAAGAGAATCACCTGTCAACCAGGGGAATAAACAGAATGCAATGAGAGAAAAGAGATAATAATCAAGCTTGTCAATTCAGTCATAAATATTCCTTATATCTACTTTATATAATCCCAAGAAAATTTTGAGGTGGATAATTTTTTCCTGTTTTAAAGATAGGATATGAGCAAGGTTAAGTATCATATCTAAAAATAGTAGATCCAGATTAAAAATTCATATCCAAACTCTGAAAGTCTACTATATTTTACCAAAATTCAAAACATCAAAGAAGCCAAGTTTAGGCTGACAATCTATATATACCATTGGATGTTGTGATTTCCTTCTTTAAAAATAAAATATATTCTATTTTAAATAAATATGATTCAGAGAAGTTATATTAATGAGAAATAAGTAAAAGAGAAGGTGTACTCACAGCTTTCTAAAGAATATTTGTGGGATCCAAAGGTGGTTGAGGATATGCATGAAGTATACATATTTTATATCACAAGTGGTGTAGATAGAAGGAAGTTATAGAGTGCAAGTATAGTCAAGAGATAAGATATCTATGAAGCAGGCATCAGTCATGTTCTGTTCTTTAAATAGCATTTATAAAAGACAAACTATAACACTAGATATTGTGACAGAGATAGGATAGAAACAAATGGCTTATTTTGATGTTGAGAACTTTGTCATCTGAGATGGACATACATAGACAGAAGGAAGTGTAGAGGCTTCCCATACATTTTGAAGCAATGTGGAGGACAAACTTCATTGCCCGTGTTTATTGAAGTTTTCCCTATATTGCCCACCTTCCAGAAAAAAATTATGGACTAATGTTTTCCTTTTACAAGTACAAGTTTCCATTTGAATGGCCAGGCAGAAGTTAACTTCTGCTCATACACATATAGACTAGATAAAATGACTTGGGTAAGAGCCACCTAATTTTACCCAAGTGATTTGAGAATCAACATCACTACCTCTGACATCAATAATGATAGAAACTCACCCTCTTACCAACAGCTACCTTGTGTTCATTTGTCAACACTGAATGCTACTGCTTCCACAATCCAGAACTTACCCTGACAACTCCAAGAAAAGTTAAACTGAAAAATTCCTCTGATCCTAAGCCTTTGTACCATTTAGCTCTTGAACATTTTCTTTGATTCTTCATAACAAGTTGGAGATGATATCCATCATTTATTTTTCTGCTTGGAATAGTTCCATGAAATTTAAGGCATGCACATCACACTTTTCATATACCAATGCTAGCTAGCACAACAAGATAAGTATCAACAGAAAAACCAATATATCAACTGCACACAGGAAATTTATGGCCATAGTAAGAGAATTCTGAACTCTATTCCCTCTTTTCTTTCTCCATTCTTTCCCCTCCACTCTTTTCTTTCTCCAGCCTTCTATTGTCCTAGCTCAATACTTCCAGAATATCTTACGTATGCCTCCATTTCTTCAGGCATCTTACTCATCTCTCACATTAGTTCCTTGCTTATTCTCCTTCCCATCATCTCCTATCATTCCTTCTTTCTTCCCCTTCCATCCCCTTCCCAAGTAGGCATTCTTCCTACCTAGTCACATCAGCAGGAATCACCACAAATTTCTCTTCAGCCTCATCGTAAAGAAGGGACTAAACTACTCGAAGGTGGGGGCTTTATAAGTAGCC